AGCCAGTAACAGGCAGAATACTGGTCAGTGATAATCAGAGTACCAGCCAGTAACAGGCAGAATACTGGGCAGTGATAATCAGAGTACCAGCCAGTAACAGGCAGAATACTGGGCAGTGATAATCAGAGTACCAGCCAGTAACAGGCAGAATACTGGGCAGTGACAGGCAGAGAACTGCAGGCTGGAGGTTCAGTACAATTCTGTCAGCTCAGAGATCCGGCTTGTGTGTCGCCATGGAAGCCAGTGTCCAGATATAAATATCGTTGGGCCCCAAGTCTGATGGGAGAGTCTCCAGACAGGGGAGTCACCTCCGTCAGCTTTGTAAGTCCCAAGGGAAGATATTAACCGAGCCTGTGACCACCCCACTACATCTGGACACGTCTGCGTGCGCAGCCCAGTCCTGCCAGCCCTGAGCTGGTGTATATCCCCTAATTAATTGAACTTTTCTAATCTCTCTCCGGCAGTTCGGGCAGTTTAGGTGCCATTATTGTAAAAGTTAAACTCTCCTTGTGGCATTAATAGGTCCTCGGTGCCGAATCCGGTAAGGAGCGAGCTTCAGACAGCCCGAGACGATCTCCGTCTGGCAGCTTTATAAGGCGGCCGTCGGCTTTGACCGCGCTGACGCTCGCAATCCCGCTTCCCCGCTAACTGTTTGTCAGTGTTTTAGCTGCAGTAAACTGGAGGTGAGTGAGCATGAGCAGGCAGGGAGAGCGTGGGGTAAATCTGAGCGCCTCTGTAAACACAGCGTAATCTCATTACTTCGTGCTGCTTTCCGTCCGTTTGTTTGTGAAACTTCCCCCGCCGTTTGCAGAGAGACAAGCACAACGATCTCCGGGTCTGTAACTGCGGCGGTGGAGGGAAATTGAACCACCACAACCACCCCCCCCCCCCCACCCTCACGCCACTCCCAGAGCACGGACACCCTCCCCCCACAGCCTCCCTTGCACCCCCGGCTGCTCCGACGAGTCCCGCGGGAGCAATTAGAAGCAGAAAAGCCGGGAATGTCAGCCGTGATTGGAAGACAGGTAGAAGTCGTCCTAGCGAAAAGGGAGGGGGGACAGGGAGGGCAAGCTTTCTGACACCACTGCGGTATCAAGCGCAATTAAAGAGGAGCACATCACTGGTGAACAGCCCTCATTTCCTTTCTCTGTAACCATGGCGATTGTTGGCATCTGTGGATTGGAATTTTTCTTATAATTTGCATTTACACGGTTAATTTGACTTACATAAGGGCTACTGACACAGATTACTTAGGTCTGCCTGCGTACACTATTCTGTGATTTATTATTGACATGAATTGACATGAAAACTAATTGTGTGATTCTCAATGCTTTGGGTGTTTCTCTGTGTACGTGACCATACTTGTGCTCTCATGTACCCGTTTTACCTCATGTTCCATTGTCAAAGAACAGTTCTAATACCAAGAACAGAAGTATGGAAGAGGGTAAAAACCCCCGGATGCCATTCTTGCCCCACCCAAAATATCAAAGATACATCGGCTGCATCCTCGCCAAATGAGGCCAGCCCCATGATTCATTGCAGCCAAGTTCATTCTTGGAAAGAAGACCAGTCTTGCCAAGACCACAAGTACGACCTTTGCATTCTGGGTATTGAAATTCATCGCTGAAGTCCTGCAGAGTGAAAAGGGGGCGTGGCCAATGAAGACCTGAGCGCCCCCTTGGTCCTGCAGAAAGGCATCCGCTCGCGCACGAGCCTTTCGGGGAGGTTTCGTTTGACCTCAGATGCCAAGCTTTACGGATCTGTCGATATCTACTGATTTCCCAGTTTCACAGGGGGAAAGGTCTCTCCACTCCAGAGGATGTGAGGGTATTCCAAATTCTTCATATTTCCATTTTGTAAAACCGGCTTTCTTAGCGATACTAGCGGCTACCCTTTAACGTCGTTTCCTCATTTCTTTGTTCTGTACGTGTAGCTAAAAATCTCTGAATTACGCTCGTTAAACCCTGGAATATGTAGCTGGAGAGGTCAGGTCCGGTCCCACGCTTAGTCAGACTGGTCAGTCACAAGCACACCCCCGCGTTGCTATGGCACCAGCCCCGTGTTCACCACAGCGTGTGTCTGCTGGTCCCCCCGGGCCGGACTGGCCCATCACTCGCAGCAGTGCTCCTGTGACAAAGGAATCATCTACAGATGTCAGCTCTTTATACAGCATGCCAAATGTCATGTGATTTGGACAGAACGTTTTAATAATTTAATCTGTCCCCTTGTTTCCAGATTTGTCCATCCAGCCATCCATTTTCTAAGCCCGCTAGTTCCTTGTGGGGACACCACGGTTTGGACTCTATCCAGGAAGCTATAGGCGCAAGGCAGGGAAAATCCCAGGATGGTGAGTCAAGCCATTACACATCATTTATATACACAGGATCCAGTTTTTCCAGACTGGTAGAAAACTGGAGTCTCCCACTGGAAAACATGAGCTCTACACATGGATCTGGGATGGAGACTCAAACCCTGGTTCTAGAGGAGTGAAGCAACAGTGCTAAACATTGTACCACTATGCCATCACCCTGAAATATCAACATCTGATGAAGATGGCGGGAGCGTTTTCCCTAATCCTCTTTTTAAAAATGCTCATATCAGGTCCTCAGCGTTTCTGCACAGATGTTCCAGCTTGTTTTCCACTTTTAATCCGTATTTAAACGCGGTTGGGTTTCAGTGCCAGCAGGAGGCGCTCTCGGAGAGAGGCGAGCGTGTCTTTGTCCTTTCAGTGCCGGTCATGATTAGGATGGTGAGACCCTCTGTGTGACCCACGCTCTCCGTCAGGGCACAAACGCAGCATCAGACGCGCTCTGGGTCTCAAACCCCAGCACACTGACGCGCTCGGGTCACGCTCTCCACCAGCGGAGTCGTCCGACACGCCTCAACACGCATCATCAGATCCCACCTTCTTCGGATGTGATAGACGGGTAGAAAATGAATAGCGGCCCATTAAAAAATATATTTCCATTCTTTTCATGTCATCAAAACCACAGAGAAGCACTTATTCACCTTGTCCTTCAGGTATGGCGGGGGTCAGAGCCGCCTCCCTCTCCCCCCTTACGTAGTAAATCGGCCGTTTCCCCCCACAAATCCCACTCTGAGCTT